ATGGTCTTCCTCAGTATCCTATTTTCTATAATAAGATATTGTTATTATCCTTTATGGTCCTTCCTCGGTACCCTATGTTCTGTAATAAGATATTGTTAGTATTCTTTATGGTCATTCCTCAGTATCCTATTTTCTATAATAAGATATTGTTATTATCCTTTATGGTCCTTCCTCAGTACTCTATGTTCTGTAATAAGATATTGCTAGTATTCTTTATGATCCTTCCTCGGTACCCTATGTTCTGTAATAAGATATTGCTAGTATTCTTTATGGTCCTTCCTCGGTACCCTATGTTCTGTAATAAGATATTGCTAGTATTCTTTATGGTCCTTCCTCGGTACCCTATGTTCTGTAATAAGATATTGCTAGTATTCTTTATGGTCCTTCCTCGGTACCCTATGTTCTGTAATAAGATATTGCTAGTATTCTTTATGGTCCTTCCTCGGTACCCTATGTTCTGTAATAAGATATTGCTAGTATTCTTTATGGTCCTTCCTCGGTACCCTATGTTCTGTAATAAGATATTGCTAGTATTCTTTATGGTCCTTCCTCGGTACCCTATGTTCTGTAATAAGATATTGCTAGTATTCTTTATGGTCCTTCCTCGGTACCCTATGTTCTGTAATAAGATATTGCTAGTATTCTTTATGGTCCTTCCTCGGTACCCTATGTTCTGTAATGAGATATTGTTATTATCCTTTATGGTCCTTCCTCGGTACCCTATGTTCTGTAATAAGATATTGTTATTATCCTTTATGGTCCTTCCTCGGTACCCTATGTTCTGTAATAAGATATTGCTAGTATTCTTTATGGTCCTTCCTCGGTACCCTATGTTCTGTAATAAGATATTGTTATTATCCTTTATGGTCCTTCCTCGGTACCCTATGTTCTGTAATAAGATATTGCTAGTATTCTTTATGGTCCTTCCTCGGTACCCTATGTTCTGTAATAAGATATTGTTATTATCCTTTATGGTCCTTCCTCGGTACCCTATGTTCTGTAATAAGATATTGCTAGTATTCTTTATGGTCCTTCCTCGGTACCCTATGTTCTGTAATAAGATATTGTTAGTATCCTTTATGGTCCTTCCTCGGTACCCTATGTTCTGTAATAAGATATTGTTAGTATCCTTTATGGTCCTTCCTCGGTACCCTATGTTCTGTAATAAAGATATTGCTAGTATTCTTTATGGTCC